TCAGAGGTGGCAAGTTTAAGGTGAATAAAATATCTAGATTTGGCCACTAATGAAGCAGAAACTTTCCTACTGTTCCAAAGGCACCAAATACCTCCTGAATATCCAATAGCATCAATTTTTTCATGCTTGTCAAATTTTATTTTCTTAATTACATTATTAGCTCTATCAGAATTGATTCTAAGTTCAAACAGAGCAAGAAAATCTAATTGATACATGACTATAAGATCATTAACAAGCTTGTGAAAGACTCTACCTCTTGCCCCCTTACAGTTCCAAAATAAGCAGTTCATAAATAAAGATAGAAATTAATTTGCATCTTTAAGATGCTGAGAAAAATCCTGACTAGAGGCCTGACAGAGAGCAAAAGGGCTACTAACCTGATCTGATTTGTCAACATCCATAATGGGATCTAGATCAGGAGGTTTATCAGTAGGGCTCTGAAGCTTAGAGACCTGGTCCCTCAAATAATTAGACAAACCTAAACCCAAAAGATCTTGGATAGACCTACCTCTAGATTGAGTAATCTCTTTAGAGATTTTGTTCATAAGGGAAAAGATTTCTCTATGATCCTTATTATTATTAATGTGACCATAGTTATCAGAACTGTTCCCATTTATTATTCCTATTTGAGTAACCCCCTCATCTTCCTTACTAGTAATATCAATTCTAGGATTTGTTTTACCTTTTATGGATTTCTTAAACACCATTAGTTCTCAAAGGTTTACTCTTTTCAATACCCTTTAGACCTTTACCCCTTCCTCAAAACTAAATGGTAGATCTGGGTATTTTTCCCCATCCATGATAGGCTTAGAAATAGTTTCTAGATTAGAACTACCCAAAATATCAAATCTTGAACATAGGACACTTCCTAATTCATTTCCCCTTGGACTAGACTAGTTGTTGGGCGATGGGGCCCAACTTTTCTCCTTACAGGCCTCTTGACTAACATCCAGGGCCCAAACAGACCTTGCTCCTCTATGCCAACACTCTTCTGACTCCCATTGTTTACACCATTATTTGGTTCGAGGGGAGGAATAAGATCCTCATTGTTGTTATTCTCAAGATTCATAGGGCAAGGAACAGGTTCAAAATTATCATTAATATGTTTACAAGGATCAGGACAGAACTCCTGCCTATGGCCATACTTTCCACAGTAAAAGAAGCTCAGGTGCAGGCCCTTATATTCAACTTTGAACTCTTGGCCAAAAACTTCAAAAGAAGGGATAAGCTTTTTCCTAAGGTCAAGCTCTACACAGATCTTACCAAATCTACCTCTAGATTGGAGGGAAGTATTAGGCTCAATTTTGAGCATTTGACCCAAACAAAAACCTACTTGCCATAGGAAGTATTAGGTTTCCTAAATAAGTGATCTTTAGGCCTAAACAAAGGTCTCCAGCATTGAAGTAATAAGTAATGATCTAGAATTAGCTAGGAACCCTCAAAAAGGGCATACTTATAATTCTTAGTGTTATCAAATCTAACTAAAAAAATACTCGTTGTTAAGATCTAGAATTTTTAGGGGCCATTATGCCCCACAAATTACCTAACTTTTAATTCAAATAGTTAAAACTAATTATTTTACCTAAGAGTTTAACAATCAAAGAGTGTTTCCAGGGAGAGTACCATTGTTCATAATCTTCTAGAGGTATTTTCAGTCATTGTTTAGATCTAGAATTTTCAGGGGCCATTACACCCCCACAAATTACCTAACTTTTGATTCAAATAGTTAATCCTAATTGTTTTACCTAAGAGTTTAATAATCAAAGAGTGTTTCCAGGGAGAGTACCATTGTTCATAATCTTCTAGAGGGATTTTCATATTAGGACAAAGAATTTGTTCATTAACAGGTAAATCTTGTTCCTCAATATCAATGTTAATATTAAGTTCTTCTAGCACCAATTTTACAATATCCTCATCACCAAGGGAAAGATATAAATCCTTAACCGATAAAACCTTGTCTTTATAAGAAACTATAGTAGAAAAAGTAGGATTCAAAAACACCTGGTCATTTTTTAGCACTTTGGCTTTATTCTTGTTGCATATTAGAATCCAAATCCACCTCCAAAGCCAGTGAAACTTGCTTTACCTTCTTAGTGCTTCTTTCCATCATATCAGTTTCTTCCTTGGAACATTTTTCAGGTTCTTGATGAGTCATGCAGAGATTTAGATGCCAATCTGAGCTTCGCGATGAAACTCCGCGCAAGAGACGGCACAACCCAATACACCGCTACATTGAGATGGAGAGAAGAAAGGGGGAAAAAGCTAGGGTTTTGGAGAACCCTAGCAGAACTCGCAATGCAACTCTATTCGAAGATAGAAAAAGCCCATTCAAAGGTTTCTTAAAATAATTATAATTTCAAAAATAATTATACGTTACTGCTAAATGTATAAAATTATTATAGAAATCACGTTAGAAAAGCCTCACAATGAATACTTCACCATATTTTCAAATAAAATTGTTCTTGTATATAACATTTCCGTTTGGATTCATCATTTTTGGGTACATGAGTAAAAAGAAAAACAAAAAGAAAAGAAAAGCAGCAAAATAAAATATTAAAGAGGCTACTCCAATTGCATATGCAAGTGGAAAGTTTTTGATATTCAAAGACTTTCCGTTATATTTTGCATTTCCTTTACTAAAATCAAATTAATGATTTGGTCACTTCTGGTTTGCTTCAAGGATTTTCCTGTTTGGTGATTTGCATCTTTGCTTCTTGACACAAACAAAGCCAGTATGTTTTGTGATTTTTATTTTTTAAAATTAATTAAAATGCTTCAATAATATAAAGTTTTCTAATATTGTTACTTAGTTTTGAATATTTATATATTAAAAATATTATTTTTTAGAATAATTAATTTATAGATTATAAATACTTTAATTGATTAATAATGTAAAAATAGTTACATCAAAAGTAAGTGTTTATTTAGTTTACAATTAAATAAAATTAAGGTTAACCTGTTAAATATTTTTAAAATATGTGCATATATCAGTGTGAATTATATATTTTATTAAAATATATGCTTTGCATAAAAAAAAGTTATAATTAATTTTTTAGTTATTAAAAATATTAATATAATTAGTTCTTAGAATTAAGTTTAAATAATAGTAATTTCTACACTGTCTTATAAATTGAAAGAACATTATATATTCTCTTAAATAATTATTATTAAAAAAAATCACAATCTTCAATTAAAAAATATATAATACTTTCTTAAACTTACGAATATTATAACAAGTATTTTAAATAATTAATAAAAATAAAAATTATTAAAAATATTTAACATAATTTTATAATTTCAATCTAATAAATATATTTTGAATAAAATATTATTATATTTTAGTATTTAAACTTAATTTTAAAGATTAAGATTAAATAATCTTAAAATAAAAAGTTCTAAATATTTGTTATTATATTATATTATATTTTATTTATATATATTTAAGAATGTACAATAAAATTTCATATAAAATAATTTTTATTAAAAAAATGATATATTATAAAATTCAATATATGAATAATATTTAATATTATTTTTTAATGTAATTTTTAAAGAATTATTTATTTTAATTAGATTGCAGTTAAAGTGGTGAAGCCATCCGTTTGACCAGATATTTAACTATATGGTTAGCAAACAGTGTCATCGAAGTCGGACCCTACAAAATTCACAACGGACATTGTGTCAGTCTAGTGGCCAAAGAGAAACCAAACACCACGCGGGCCCTGCACCTAAAACGACACATAATTGATCCTCTCAACCCCAACACTTATTTTAAAAAAATTGTAATGTTTCTAAGGTATTATTAAAGAATTAAAAGTAACTTTTTATTAAAAACTATAAAAGATATTCAACTTTGTAATTTTTAATATTTTAATATATTGTTTTACGAAAATACCATTTATTAATTCTTTAAAATTTTTGCTTGTGAATGTATTTTCTTTTCGACATGCACTCATTTTAGTGGAATATAAAAAACAATTTTCTTGATGCTTGCTATGTTACGACCTTTATATTTCAAGGACATTTGTATGATTTTAATGTCTCTTTGTTAAAAAACCTTTTAATATTATTATTTCATCTGAAATACCATATTTTTCAGATGAAATATTTTTTAAAACTGCTCTTACAAGATCACTGTGGAGACAAGTAATTGATGTGTTTTTGGAACAGCAGAATGAGACAAGTTTAATTTAGTGTTTGAAAATTGCAACATACCCAACAAAACATGTGATAAGTTCTTAAATTTCATATGAAAAATTAATTTAATTTAAAATTATTTACAGTTTTGCCAAATAATATACATGAATAGTTTTAGAAACTTCTTAGGATATCTATTTCTTCAATTGCACAGAAAGTATAATCTACCTCACTAGCTTCCTCGTCAAATGAGTTTAAATTTATTCTTGGGCGATGTTACATTGACCTAAAACCTTTATGAGAAATAAATCTCCTGTGTGTTAGCTCAATGTCAGCTACCTAACCACTAAACATTTTTTTAATGTGTTTGAAGGTAGATAATAAAAAATTGATAAGTAATAAGATTTTGTTAATAATTATAGTATTTAATATTATTATGTAATTATTAATGTATTAAATAATGTAATTTTTAAAAGATTATTAAATATAAATTCTTATTGGATGTACTTAAACACATTAAAAAACTATTTTTAATAGAATATTTTGTAATATAAATATATCTTCGCTAGAGAGTCAAAATTTATTTCTTTGATTTAAATAAAGTAAATTATGCTTAAAAGAAATAATTATCTGGCAAATATTTATAGAATTTATTCATCTAATATACTACCAGACCTCAAATACAATGAACCCTATAGTCCAATTAAAAAGTCACTGATGACCAGCTAGCAATGAAAGCTAAGAACATTATGGCCTCACATTCCATAGAGGTCCAAAGCAGGGTGTGGTACCTATATATACCCATTGGAATTCACAAGAAGGACGTATCAGAAGTCATAACACAAGTTGAAACATACACAAAAATGGGTTCTTCTTTGTGGACTTGTCTGATTTTGTTATCACTAGCCTCTGCTTCCTTCGCCGCCACACCAAGGAGACCTGTGGATGTGCCATTTGGCCGAAACTATGTGCCTACTTGGGCCTATGATCACATCAAATACCTCAATGGAGGGTCAGAGATTGAGCTTCATCTTGATAAGTACACTGGTATATGCTAATGATAACGTGCTACGCAATTTTATTGAGTTTAGGATTGTTCACATCAAATTAGTGCTAATGATCATATGGATTGTTCACTCCCTTATTCATTTAGTTACAAAACTTTTCATATCATATCATGTTCATGCAATTTTGATCAGGTACTGGCTTTCAGTCCAAAGGGTCCTACTTGTTTGGTCACTTCAGCATGTACATAAAAATGGTTGCTGGTGATTCAGCTGGCACTGTCACTGCATTCTATGTAAGAAAAGTGTTTTGATTATTTTATTTTTGTTTCCATCATTTTGTTTTCTCAGTTTTGTTATGTGACCTTTTGGATGTGATTGGAACTATGCAGCTATCATCCCAAAATTCAGAACATGATGAAATAGACTTTGAGTTCTTGGGGAACAGAACTGGGCAACCATACATTTTGCAAACAAATGTGTTCACTGGTGGCAAGGGTGACAGAGAACAGAGAATCTACCTATGGTTTGACCCTACAAGACAATACCATAGATACTCAGTGCTATGGAACATGTTCCAGATTGTGTAAGTATACTTCTTCATTCAATAAGCAACAATTTCACCTACCCTTTCACACCATCCATCTTGTTCCCCATACCATAGTCTAATTGCATAACTTGTCAATGGGAACACTGTAGATACTATACAAATAATAATTATTATTATATTGTTATTTGTTATTACTAATAGAAACCCAAATATGGGGTGTACAGTTTCTATGTGGATGATATCCCGATAAGGGTGTTCAAGAACAGCAAAGACAAGGGAGTGAAATTCCCATTTAACCAACCAATGAAGATATACAACAGCTTATGGAATGCTGATGATTGGGCCACAAGGGGTGGTTTGGAGAAAACAGATTGGTCCAAAGCACCCTTTGTAGCCACCTACAAAGGATTCCACATTGATGGGTGTGAGGCCTCTGTGGATGCCAAATTTTGTGCAACTCAAGGCACAAGGTGGTGGGATCAACCTGAATTCCGTGACCTTGATTCTGCTCAATGGCAAAGACTCAAATGGGTGCGCAAAAAATACACCATCTACAACTACTGCACTGACCGCAAACGCTACCCTCAACTCCCTCCTGAATGCACAAGAGACCAAGACATTTAATCTTTCATCTACTACATTTTACTACCATAAAGTTCTCAGCTACATAATTTCATCAACACACCTAAGCATTGATACAAATTTAATTTGGGTTTCTTTCTTGCATTGTTTGTTAATAATCAATCTATATCATCATTTATTGCTACTATGCATAATTGCTTGAGCTATGTAAAAAAAGAACTGGTAATGGTGGGTGGAAACAGATGAGTCTAGCTCTGACTCTGATATGATATGCAATGTATCTGTAATCAAATTTCATTCTCAATCAATATAGTACTGTTACCAGCAAGTATATTATTCTTGCTCTATCATATTTGTTCTGTACTAACATGGGGCCTTTCTGGCGAATGAGTTGTATTGCATTTGCATATATCCGTATTCTGGTTCTATGGTCCCAGAAATGAAGAGACACCGACAAGGATAGTAATTAGTAAATAGTAAAAATCAAAAGTAAAAAGTGGTGGTGATACACTCGTGTTAAAAACGTAGGCAAGAACAATTGAATGCGTATACGTGGCTCCGGTGCACGCTTCTGCTTGTGAACAGTGAAGGTTGCAGTGGATAATAACAAACTCCAAATAAGTGTTCTGTACCCCAAAATTTGAACAAATTTTCTAAATTTTTTAGACAGATTTTTGAGAAGAAAAAATAAACAACAAATTACATTTTAATTATCTAAATTTTTCATATTTGAAATTTAACGCATGATTGAATTTTGAACAAATTTGATGTTATGTTATTTGAATCATTACACAATAATATTTAATGCAATATTATATGTCATATCATTTAATTATTTTTAATGTGTATAATGTACAATAAAAAATTTGTATTTAATGAATTTTTATTATATACTTTTAGATTCATATTTAATTTTTTTATATTTTATCTTTTATATACATGTATTTTTAAAAGTATATTTTAATTAAAAAAAAGCCTAAAATTACATTTTCCCAGCTAATAAAGCTATTATTATGCTAAGAGGATGCAGAATCAGGAAGGAAGGAATTGTGATGGTCTCTTTCAGCTACTTACTGCCCCTTTAACTTTTCCACACAACTGGTCAGTAATTTGGAAAATAACACGTGCCTTGTGTTGTTGCATTATTTCAATGTGGAATTGCATTCATATTATTGGAACAACATGAGTCATTAAAATTTTATAAGATTTAAATACAGATGTGAATTTGGATGCCATTACATATGTGAGTAGAGTAGTGGCATGCATCATATATACTCCCGCTTATCTCTCTTGTAAGTGACATTTTAGAAGATTTTAACAATTTTTTTATTAAATGTTTCATAATTTTATAAAATTATTATTATTTATCCTTAATAAAAAGAATTAGTAAAAATATAAATTGAACTAATAAGAATAATAGTTAAAGTAAGGTTGAATGATATTATTAAAAGTAAAATTATCACGTTATAATATTTAAAAAAAAACTGCTTTTATTTATTTATATAAATTATTTAAAAGTATCTTAGAATAAAACTTAAAAGGAATACTAAAATACATATAAAACTTTTTTTCTTCTGAAAAATGTTATTCTCGTTTCTTTTTGTAAATTTTTTTTAAATTAAAGTATATGTTGAAGGTCAAGAAATCTTGTTAACTTAGAACATGCTTGATTTTTTTTTTCTAAAAATAATTTTCTGTTTTTAAAAATAAATTGTGATATAAATTTAGGATTTAGGGTTTAAAGTACTACAATTTATTTTTAAAAACAGAAAAAAATTTTTAGAAGGAAAATCAAACATACCCTCTTGTCTCCCTATTTACTTATTATCTACATGTGAAGTTATGATTTCTCCTTTTGGGCTTTAAAAGGAAAATGTATGAGAGCTAGAAACTTTTTGTCCAGAAATTATACAAAGTATGGACATCAGACCAAATTTTTTTATTTAAGTAGATGTTTGTATATTATTGCATAAATTTAATCAGCTATATTAAAAATTAAATAAAAATTAAAAGTTTGACCATTAGATAAAAGTAATACAGTCTGCCATTAATTTTAATATTTATAAAGTTAGTTTTGTGGATATTAACTAGCTTAGTTGACAGAATAGTTAGTTAATTTGTATTTATATAAAAATGAGTAAACTCCAAGTTATAGAAAATAAAGCGCTGGGATTTTTCTTTGTAATTTCTTTCATTCAATATAGAGTTCATTTTTTTTCATAATTTATTCTTTCTTAAATCGTACAGCGATGTGGCACCAAAAACTCTCATAGGAGGGTTTTGTTTTGCAATCTCTAAATCATAAGCATATTTTGATGAGATATCAAAACCAACAAATAAAATCTTACTTATATTCTGATAAAAAAAATTTATGTATAACATCATGTAAGGTTGATTTTTCTCTACACGGATAGGTAAAGTTACTTCCTTAGGGAGATTAAACTATTAAGGAATTGAGAGTTTAAAATAAAGAAACAAAGAGAAAATAAAAATATTAGATTAAAAAACTTCAGTTGAAATAAGCATCCAATTCTAGAAGTAATCATAATTAATTTTTCGAATTTATCATTGATATAAAAATATTTTTTTTTATTTTTTTAATAAATTAGCTATAGTCACTAACAACTTCTAGAAACCAATCTCTCTTTACTTTCTTATAACTAAAATAAACTCTTCAAATAATTTTCTCATTAATAAACAACCATAAATAAACTCTTGAAAATTTAATCTGCTAACAACATTAAGATTTAAATAAATTTAATTCTAATTATTAAACTCACAAGCTCAATTCATTTAAACTAAATTATATACTTATATAACAGTGGATTGAATCTTTATATTAAACTATTATTTTACCATTAGTTATCAAAACATTTGAATAATTGTGAATTCAAAATCTAAATTGAAAGTATCCATCCTGTTAAATGTACACTAGGCCTTTCTTACATGAATTAGTGGAAAAGTGATAAATGAATAGATAGAAAATATATAAATACCAAAGGAAAAAAGAAAATTATCTTTAAATTAGAAAAGAAATTTAGTTACATATAATCTTTTTATAATAATAATAATAATAGATGAATTAAAGAGAACAAAGAATTATAATCATACTCATGTCTTTTTTTCTCTTTCCATTATCCCTAAAAAGACATAAAACTATTTGGAATATAATCTCCTAATTTTAAAAAATTAAATAGAGAAATCAAAATAAATCTTAAAATAAGAAAATAAGGGGACCAGATCCAATCTAAAAATAAAAAAACAAAACTATCAAATCAAATTTTAAAATTAAATATTTAAACCTCACAAATGACCCACAATTTTGGTCAACAACTTAAGTTTGTAGACATTTATGCTCTATTCACTCTTTAGTCAAAATATTATTAACTCTCTTCTTTTCCCACCTCCAAAACTTGTACAATGAATTACTGTAGGATTGTTAATGTTTTCTCCACCATTTCTACCGCTACAACCCGCTCTCTCTTTCATTATCATTTTCATTTGACAAAAAAAAATAAACTACCAACTCTCTTCCTTCGTCACCTTAGACATTGTATTACGAGTCACTTTACTATCATAAATATTTTCTTCACCATCGCCTCCATCTCTAACCAACGTGAACTACCCCTATTATCAGTGTTCTTATCATTTGGCCAAAATGTTGTTAACCTTTTTTCTCTTCCATCCTTTTCAATTTTATATTTCATCAAATGTTCGTGGGTAAGTGTACTTGTCGAAAAGTAATAAAGGGTTCTAAAAATAAGTTCTCGAATTATCATTCCACAAGGATTGTTTTCAATTATTAAGAATTTCTTAGTTTAATTATTTGAACTTAAAGGATATGAAATCAAATAAAACAAAAATTCAAATATGAAAGTGATTAAAATAGAATTAAAAAATCTCTAACAATAAATTAATCAAGAAGAACCTAGGACATATGGTTTCATCCTCACAATTCTTTATATTCTCTTTTAGATTAATTCTAATTTTAGTTTCCCTATAATTATCAATAACTCATGTTAAAGCTATTAACACCTAATAGTCATGCAATGTTAACAGTCTTTTCCCAGAATGCCAATGATCACGTAAGGTAAAAGGAAGAGAAAGCATAAAGAGCCTATGAGTTGTTATTTTAATAATGATTGAAATCCCAGAATGCCAATGATCACGTAAGGTAAAAGGAAGAGAAAGCATAAAGAGCCTATGAGTTGTTATTTTAATAATGATTGAAAGAGAAAGATTGGTTTGGTCCACCTAATCCTTTGTCTCGATTTATCCTATAGATCTATTAACTATATGTGATACGGCCGCCTATGATATAATTAATTATGATATGTTTAAGAGTTGTCAATTCCAAACATACAAATATAACACAATATACACCAATCAAGAAAGGAAATGTCAAATTATTATTAATAAAAAAATATTTCATAAGTTATGTAAATGATTCACCATAGCTCTAGCTATGGATTCAGCTAGACATAATATAAAAAGAAATCAAAACAACACTAAACAAATCCATAGAACTCAAAAAGTAAATGCAAATTAAAGGAGTCTCCCATAAAGAAGAGACGAAGAGAGCTCTTGATTTGATACGTGATAGATATGCCGAGTCACTATCAAAACAACTAAGTTTCTCCAATAATTTTGCAATATAGAACTTGGCCTAGGTCGATTCACAGAGACACATATTTAGTTAAATTTAATTTTAGGTTCTTTAATAATGCAAGTAAAATTTGGGAGTTTGAAAACTTCAAATCAATTAAATTAAAGCTACGAACGAAATTAACGTAAATAAAAATATATTAAGAAATATGAATCCATAAAATTCCAAATGCGTGTAATTTTGATTTCACAGTATTTAAAGGTATTAATTCGAATTTGAATGATTACCCAATCCAGTTATTAATTCAATCGAATAACCTAATTAAACTAGATCACGAAATAAATCAAATTATCATTTAACCTAATCCAAATTAATTATCAAATCAGAACATCAATCAAGTCCTAATTTGAATTCTAACTACAAAAAAGTTAAACAC